AGTAGGAGATGAGGTCTGCTGTCAGGGATCAACAAGAAGGCACCAGGTTGGCAAAGTAAGACAAAAGCAAAGTGCATCTCATGCTTAAAAGGACACGAAGCATGGCATGGACTATGAAGGGAAAGATACGCTGGATTATTGCCTAGGACAATTACCCTCATGGTGTCTAAGGCCCAACTCAGTACTTTTATCCCCAGGGGCTCAGGTTTGCTTGATATATTTGGACCCTTCAATCATTGTTGGAAGGAATTCAGCTGTATCTACCAGTTTTAACCCTTATGAATTGTGTTTCCAGCACGCTCCATGGAATATTATGGTACATTTTGGGGCCGCATTAAGAAACTTACTTTCTCAGTTGGTCTAGTTGACACATCCAAATATAGAGACCACCTTCTCCTTAGGTAATACCAAAAAATGCTCATCATCCTAGGGGACTGCTGACGGTCCTAACAGGCCTGGCCATGTCCCATGCTTACTGCACGCCTGGCATCCTGAGACTTTCCTCTCGGGTTCACTGGTAACAAACACCTCAGCCTTGTTGCTCTTAGGAGCTGCCAAGTCTGTTTTGACTCTCAGCGACCCCATGTCCAACAGAACAGAGACTCAGAGTAGAAGAGCATCGTCACTTACGTAGACAGAGGGAGCAGCGTTTCTAGTGCCCCGCGGTCCTGCCCCTGGGCCCACCTACCAGACTTGAAGATGTGGACCAGACACATCAGCAGCGTGCCCAGCTCCTGGCAATAGAAGGTATGCTGCTGTTCAGTCATTTCCACTTTCAGCTGCTTCGTAACAATGTCCTCTAAAAGAATGCCAACCAACTGGAGGAGAAATCTTCAAAGAAAGGGAAAAGGGTTAGGGTCGGTGAGGCGACTCTTTACAGTAGTGTGGGAGGTATGGAAGAAAGTAGGTAAAGTCACGGCAACACCCCATCCGTCTGGGTGCAGTGACCGAGCACCACTCTCCTTACTAACTGTGTTGTCATCTGCTATCGAGTCAGTTCCGACTCAGAGCAAGCCTGGGTAGGGTTTCCAGGCGCAGATGGTGGGTTTGAACCACCGATCTCACAGTTTGCAGTCCAGTGCTGACCCTACAGCACCACCCCAGTAAGGACAGCACCTTTGAAGGACTGTTGTCATGTGCCATGGAGTCAGTTCTGACCCATAGCGACCCTGCGTAGTGTTTCCAAGGCAGTAAATCTTTACGGGAGCGGACTGCCTCATCTTTCTCCCGCGGAACAACTGGTAGTTTCGAACTGCTGACCTTGTGGCTCGCTGCCCAATTCGTAACTACTGTGCTACCAGAGCTCCTTTGACTGTTATGAGGTTTAAATTTGTGATTTTTTAAATCTTTGTAAACTGTAAAGCATTATACTCAAATACACTTGATACATAAAAAACACAATCCAGTTTTATGTATCATCATAAAACTTTGCCAAAACTTAACAAAAGTGTCTAGAATATGTGGGAGAACCTCAACCTGCATGTGAAACCTTAAACAGGAGCCAGGCAGAGCTACTGGACTTGTTCCCATAATCCTCGTGGGCCAACTCCATCTGCACGGACGTGACAGCAGACACAGTTGTCACCAATGACTCATGTTCAGCATCAGCTACAGTGCCTCCGGAGCTCCCAAGCAATGGAATCTGACACCACAGTGCACACAGGGGAGTGTCTGTCGTCCACCCCAGGAGGGACCAGAATTTTATCAGCAGCAATGTTCAGAGTCCGCAGCACCCAGTGAGCTCTGCAGACAACGTACCAGCCAACCCTTGGTGTGCCACCGTGGTGCCATCCTTAACAAGGGTATGAGAAGGAATGTGGCCGAGCCAGGAGCAGTACAGACTCCTCTGGCAGACTGGGGACGGTTCACCCGACACCCTGGGCCTTCCGCAATGAGCTGGATTCACTCACTACCAGTTCAGACCAAGAGCGTACCTGGAAAAGGTTTCTTCTGGCAAATTCTTGGTTTGTCTCCCTTCAAAGAGCTCTTCGAGTGCAGGAGGACTGCCCCCTTGTCTTAAGCTGTTAATGACTGGACAGGAGATGAGGTGTGGCGTGAAGGAGAGCTCCTGAATGCGGGAGAGGACGATGTCTTCTGTGGACTGGGAGATGAGGACCCTCAAGATGGCTAGGATCCCAGAGACCCACAGCTGGACAGTGCTCACCGACGCCTACAGGGGAGGGAAGACATTGTGTTACTACAGCAGGAGCCAGTGGCATGCTTACTCACCTGCCAACATCATGGGGAAGCTGGCCCCAGGTGCTGCGTTCCACCAACACACAACCCTCACCCGGCCGGTCTCAGGCACTTGCCACTGGACAGAAAGACCACTGCTCAGGCCCCACCCGCCCTCCTAGGAGTAGGCGCCCGCTGCCAGCTGTGCTGCCGTGAGCCTCCCTTACCCCCAAGACTCCAGGAGGTCATCACGAGGCGGGACACTCACCATTGTATCTGGGGTCACGAACATGCTGCGTAAAAGCATGTCTACAGGACGGAGGGATGAGGGGGCCAGGATTTCAAATAAAGTGTTCAATACTCCCAGGGCTTCATGAGAATCGATGTGCATCTGTGGTGAAGAAACATCACAGATGTGCTTGCACCAGCCGACCAGACTACCAGCCCGACAGACATCTGCGTACACAGTCCATGCCAAATGGTACCCACGTTCAGATTCATCGGGATCCAAGCTTATATTTTTTTACAAGACTTTACTAGCTTGATTTTTTCAGTAACAAAGAACTTTCTTTAAATGATTCAAACAATATCCCGCAAAACCCGCAGAACCTGTGTCGGATGGAGACTGCACCGAGAAGGAAAACCCACAGAAAGATGCTGAGAGCTCACCCTGTCAACGGCAGACCGCTTTCAGGACCAGGGAGAGCAGCCCTGCGAGTCTGGGCTCTCCCATGTTCCCCCGACTAGGAGTGTTTAAAATCACCGCGGAAACCTCACCACCACCATTTGGGAACCACTCTTTCTCGTGAGTCATTATACACATATAATTTTGCCCCAACAGAACAACGTACATACTATTTATTTTGCTTTCTTTATCTATCTGCCAAGCAGACAGCTCTACCCAAAGTGCCTATCACTAATGAATGTTAATAGACCGGGCTATGCTCTCTTTGCAACTCTCTCTGAATTCCTATAAGCATATACCCATTCACACATATGCAGAGACGCAGCTTTTTCTTTTCGTTGTTTTTTAAAATTCATACCATCAACCTCCCTACTTTTCTCACTGAATAGGATCCGCAGAGCTCCGGCATTCTCGAGGCACAGGCGTGCACACTACACAGCGCTGGGCTGCACAGAATGAAAACAATGCCACTGTTACTTCCACCCTGCCTGCAGCCATGCCCGCAGCCTGTGCCCCGAAGGCCCCGTGCCCCCAGCACAGACACACATCAGGCCTGACCCTTGTATCTGCTCAGGGACTGCATTGTGACCATTGCCTGTCCTGCAACCCCACACCGTCCTCTCCATCTGCTCTGCCCCCAGCGCATGGACAAGCCCTCCTGAGCCTCCTCCCATCCCCTCAGAGGCCACCTCTCTTCAGGTGCTGCTTGGCACAGTCTCGCCCCGCACCCCCAGCATGCTCCTGGTGGCCTCCACAATGCCTGCCTATTGGCAGCCCACACTGCTAAGCCCTCAGAACACGCTCCCACCTGCCTGCTCTGTCCTTAGCCCCCTCCAGGCCCCACAGCCCCCTCTGTCTCCGCTCACTGCACCCACAGCTGCGCACTCCAACACACGGGCTTGCCTCCAGGAGCGCAGGAAGAGGCTGTGCTCCAACTCTGAGCAGGCCTGTCTCAGGAGAGGTACAGCCAGAGGGCTCCTGAGCAGCCATGATGGCCCAACAGGCTGTCAGGAGGGACTGGTCAGCCTTGGTAAAGTGGGCGTCAGCGACAAAGAGGCAGGCCTTCCAGTAGATGGGCTGACACACAATGACCAGGAGCATGACGGAAAATTGGGGAGCACCGTGCTGGGGCTTGCTCCTCCAGCGAACCCAGACTCTGACACCCACCCTCCTCATCTTCTCAGGGGCAAAAATGCAACGAGGCTTACTGCCTTTAACCTCACTGCTCCTCACACTATGTGCACGACAGAGAGAAGATGGAATGAAGTTCACAGAGCACCTACAGGCGTGGAGTTCACGGCTACAGGAAAGCACCTGGTCGCTAGTTCACTAAACTGCTGTCTTTCAGCCTCACCAGAACCCAGGACAACCTGGCCATGGCTGGCACTGACGTGTTGCCCGAGCCTGAACCTGCTATAATTTGATGAGAAACCTAAGAACTGTGATGCGTGATGACCCAGTGATGTAAGTGTTGTGGAAGCAGACAGCCTCCCTTAGAGCTGCCACTGAGTTTATAGCACTGGTGTTGTGGTCAGCAGGCCAGCGCCTTCACTGCCTTTCACAGGGCACGTGTCCGTGCTGAGGCCGCCATCACGCACCTGCTGCCTGGCCAGCATGGGCAGGATGATGTCAGCAGTCTGCCGGGACAGCCGTTTCCACTTGTCCTCACTCTCCTTGTGGCACTGCTGCAACACGAGGATGAACATCTCCAGCACCTGGAAGAGGCGTGTCCGCACTTACTGAGGCTCCGGGTCCTCTGGAACCGTCGGGTTCCTCCTCCTCACCAGCCAGGATGGAAGCCAGTACGCAGGTCACTGTCAGACACGCTGCTGCTGTGCTCCTCACTCAGGACGCACACCATGTGGGGAGAACAGGAGGAGACGCAGGAAGGCTGGGGCAAACCACTCTGGGCAGCCGCCCCCTGTGCTCTGCCCAGCTCACTGTCACTGCTACTTCTAGGGTCCATGAGTCACCACCAGAGAAGAGTCCCAAAGAAAGCCTTCAGCAAGACACAGACACAGCCTTGTCCTGCTGCGGAGGCTAACTTTGACTCTGGGCCTTTCACAAAGCTCATCAACCAAAAGTACCGCGTTTCAAGAGTCACACGGGGCTGGGCCTGGGTTAACTAGTGAGCATGTATTCCCAAAGAGATCCCAAACCTCACCAGGGTGGCAACAGGGGCCAGCCCAGGACTTGTCTGGGCAAGTAAGGCTTCATGGGCACACAGCCATGGCCAATGGCGTGCACACGAAGTGGCTGCAGAAAGTCCCGGGAAAGGGAGCTGACTGGGCACTTTCAGGCTGCTCTCACGCTACGCCAGCACTTAGGCACCTGACACTGACGGCAAGAGCTGGAAAGCTTCAGGTCTTCTCTATCTGACCCTTTACAGCAGGGGTGGGGAACCTATTTTCTGGCAAGGGCCATTTGGATATTTATAACATCATTCGTAGGCCATACAAAATTATCAGCTTAAAAATTAGCCTGCTGTGTTTGGCCAAACATTTAACTACTTCACTCCTAATGTGATGCTGGATCTGCAATTGCACCTGAAATACAGAGCGAGAAGGAGCCCTGGTGGCGCAGTGGTTAAATGCTCAGCTGCAAACCGAAAGGTCAGTGGTTCGAACCCATCACAGGTCTATAAAGACCTAACCCTCTGGGGAAGCTCTCCTGTCCCTACAGGGTTGTGATGAGTCGGAATCCACTCAACAGCAGTGGGTCTGATTTATAAGGACAGAGACAGATCTAATGTCCACACAGTCTGCCCCACCTACTGCCTTCCGAAGTGGATAGCTCTCTTCTAGGCATTTCCACTGCACAAGAGAAAGCTGTACTCCGCTAGCAAAAGGTCCACAAGCCGACCTCAACTTCCCAGACAGCTCTCTCCTGTACGGCGTGTGGCTAACGAGCTTCTCTCTGGCTCGGCTGTGCCTGCCAAGAGTCATGATTCCAGCTCAGATCTCTTTACCGAAGGTGGACGTTGCATTCCAATTAATGCTAAGGATGACTTCACTAAATAGTCCATAGATCAAGAAGCACAGATGGGACAAATTTATGGTTTTATAGACACTCGAAGGTGAACAGCTCAGAGAATAGCCAAAGTAAGTGAGGGCTGGGGACCTGCCAAGTAAGGAGCGGTCCTTTAAGGAGAGAGAGTGTGTCCTCAACATGCTGTGACTTCTTGGTCTTTACGGAGGCAGGTCACCAGGACTTCTCCCACTGAGCTGCATGGTGGGTTCAACCAACAACTTTTCAGTTAGCCGTCGAGCACTTCACTGTCCACACCACCAGGGTGCCTGAGCTCCACTTTAAGGAGAAGACCTTGGCCTGTCAAAAAGTCAGTTCTCAGGAGTCCTGGGGTGATGCTGTGCGCTAATGCGTCAGACTGCACAGCTGTTTGAACTGCAAGGTCGGTGGTTCAAGCTCACCAAGGTGCTCCTTGGAAACACTACACGGGGTCGCTATGGGTCGGAATCGACTCGATGGCACTTAACAACTAAAAGGGAGTGAGCGTCAAGGTTACAATCCGCTTTCAGAATTCGGCCACGTTGACCAACTTTGTCAACGAACTGATTTTTGATCTTCAAGGGACTTTCCCATGGGCTACAGCATCCTTTCAAGAGAGGACCATGGGCTCCTCCCCAGCCCCGAGACACCCAGAGTGTGTACAAAGTGTCATGCGGTAGGTAAAGCCCTGACAGCTTGCCGAAGGGTCGGTGCTTCATACCCAGCAGCCACTTCTAGGGAACCCTGTGCATGGTGGCTGAGTCATTTCACAACAGCCTTCAACACACTGCTGGACAGGGCCTTCCACTGTCCCGACCCACGTACCTGGTGGTCCTGGTCCCCAGCCCCAAGGAACTCAAGACAGTGTACAAGAGCACACCCCCAGCTTCAAGTACCTGGTGGC